GTTTCTCTACAGCAAACAGTTGCTTATTCATGGAGACTTGGGCTCAGACAATTTGAAGACAACAAACAAGAATTTTCAGGATGTGGTTGCTACATTCATGTCGTTTAAAAAAACATGACAATATCAAGTAATCCAAAGTAATCAGATTACGTTACTCACTTTAATTTAATGGATTACGTTACAAACTACATTTTGGGGTGTGTAATCTGTAATCTGTAGGGGATTACATTTTAAAAGTAACCTTCCCAACACTGATAACAGCATCAATACTGCCAAACAACAACACAAGAAGCATATTGAGGCCAGGGGTAACACTGTCACACTGCCCCAATAGGCAATCGCCCATTCAATTGATACAACTTAAAAAAGTCCCCGTTTTTAGCCTAGTGTGAGAAATACAGTCGGACTAGATCCAAACCAGAGTCCCGAACCAGCGGGGCAGCTCCGGTTCAGGCCGGGCTCAGAGGAGCTGGAGTGGGGAGCCTCGACCTGAGGAAGCGCTTTCCCCGGGAAGAACCAAATGCGCGGAGAACGGACGCTCAGAAAAACATAACAAACCAAACAGGACTCACGCTTCTGTCCGGATGCTGTACCACCTCGGAACCAGCCGCGGTTCTTGAGCGCGGAGGACAGGAGCAGCGCGCCCGGACCTGTAGTCCACAGCGCAGCACGGAATCAGTGCGCAGACGACGGAACGTACCCGCTCAGACCCAGTCATTGCGCACTGGTCTTGCTCGCCACCGTTTGGAACCAGCACATGGAGGATGAAGCCTCCGGACCATCTGACCAACGAGCTTGTAACAGAAGACCAAGGACCAGACCCCAGCCCCGTCCTGAGGAGCTGCGCGCTAGTGTGAGCGCTGTTGGCTGCTGCTGTTACCCGAACTCTGGGCTGATGCGGTGAGTTTGTACAAAGTTCTACATGTTGCTGTTTTATGAGTTCATGGTGATAATTTGAGATGAGGACGGCCCGTGGTATTAACAGGAACATCGGTGTTGATAACTGGAGGTATCGCTGTTTTACCGGGGAAACAGACACGTGAATCGAACCAGTTTTGGTTCGTTTGCCGGTGTGAACGCGGACCACACTGGAGTGTATTTGCTACATAATAACAATTTTATTGCCTGGTGCGGACCAAATAATCGAACTAGCTGTGTGAAAACGACCTTAAGCTAAAGGAGCCAAAAACGCCCTATCCTCACCTACGAAACCTCTGCAACCTCAAAAAAAGATTAAACCGAACGAAACGGTTCCATGTCATTGGTCCGACAGCCCATTAATCCGACAGCACATTAGTTCGAAAATGGACCATTGAGTAGAGATCCCATTAGTCCGACATTCCATTCGTCAGAAAAAAAGAGGATCATTGGTCCGACAGCCCATCAGTCTGACCATCACCATACACAATAGAGATGTGTGGATAACTTGTAACGTGCTGAGGATAAATTCAGAGTGTGGGTGGAATTCTCGTTTGTTTAGAAAGGCAGGGAGTAACAGAATGAGAAAAGAGCCACACCGGGCGGGGAGCCACTAAAATGAGAAAGCCGCACCGGAACGGGGAGCCAGAAAGACCAGAATGAGAAAATTTACACCGTCAGTAGCGGATTATAAATATACATACTACAGCCTCTGAGACGATTGCCAGGACTAAACCAGGGCTACATTAGGACTGGACCAGGACTAAACCAGGACTGAACAAGGACTAAAACACGGCTAAAACAGGACTAAACCAAGACTAAAGCAGGACTGAACTAAACCTATGCGACCGCCTCTAGTGCCATTAGAGCGCGCAGAGCTTTACGCACGCTGCTCTGTTGGCAGGAGGGGGGCCGCATACGCCTGACCTCCCTGTAGTGAGAGTGCGGTGGAGATGCCAGGTTATCGAGTGCGTAAAAGTCCACATCGTGCACATATGAGGAGAAGCGGTTCTGCAACTGCCTCTTCTTTATAAACTTTTATGAGTTTATAAGGGACCCACGCATTTCTGGGTCCCTGTGTAAGCCATGTCCTCCATGACCAGATAAAATTCCATTCCTTTAGCCCTTATTCACAAAAATATCCAAATTCCTAAATCACTGATCCTTTTAGTGCAGCTGTCTGACTGTGAGCCCGGCATAGCCTCACTCTCGCAACACGCTGAGCTTCACAGCATGTTCTCGTGCGCCCTAGTCTTTGGCAACTGGTAATGAATGTCTACTGCTCCTGTCCATTCACAAAAATGTCCAAATTGTCACACAATCCAGTTTTTCGTTGTTTCTCTGCTTGGCGGTACCATTGAGCCTTGAGTCAAGTGCGTGTCACCGCGCGCCTTCATCTGCAGAGACGGATAACGCCTCGTAACCTCTTCATTTATAAAAATTCAAAATTCTTAAGGGTCTGTCCCTTGTAGCCACGCTGCAGGCGTATGTGGCTCTCGTGCCAAGAGAGCAGCGTGAGTAAAGCTCTAATGGCACGAGAGGCACTCTAATGGCACCAGAGGTAGCCGCATATGGACTAGAGCACAGGTGTCAAACATAAGGCCCAGGGGCCAGATCCGGCCCTCCAAGACCTTTAATGTGGCCCTTGGGTGATTTTCTACTAAAATATTTTAATTATATTTTCTATTAAAATATTGGTAATTTTCTACATCGCTTAGCATAGCAGCGTCTCCAGAGCCTCTGTACGTGGCCCCTCCCACCAGAGCAGAGCCTCTGTACGTGGCCCCTCCCACTAGAGCAGAGTCTCTGTACGTGGCCCCTCCCACCAGAGCAGCACAAATGAAGACTTGTCTCTTTCCAAACGCTATTAAAGGGCGATCGTTTTGACTGTTGACCGTGACACCCTCATCAGAAAAATGTCCAAAATAAGCAAAGTGGAGCCGAGTGCAGGATTTTACAACAAAAATTTACTTATTCCTGTTTGCATACAAGTTCATGTTAAAACTTTGTGTTGAAATTGTATTTTTCTTAAAGTTTCAGGTTGTTCATAATATTATAATATTATAATAAGAAAGAGTTCATCAATTTAAAAAATTATTGTTATTATTTCTGTAATAGATTTGTGTTTCTCTGCACAAATATTTGAACTTATTGTTATTTTTGGGGTTGATATGCCATGAGTTTTCTGATCCGGCCCCTTTGGGATCAAAGTCGGTTGGATACAGCCCCCGGAACAAAATTTGTTTGACACCCCTGGACTAGAGCACTAGAGCCGTACCGGGACAGAACAAGCTTTGTCGGATTGGAGGGAAAAAAAAAAGTTGGAGTGCAGGGACATTTGATAAAAAATGGAAATACCGTTACTCCGACAATAACACGTCAATGTCAGTGTGATGGTATGTCTGAATGGCAACGTGTAACTGTTTTAGTCCTGGTTCAGTCTTGGTTTAGTCCTGTTTTAGTCCTGGTCCAGTCTGATGTAGTCCTGGTTTAGTCCTGGTTTAGTCCTGGTTTAGTCCTGGTTTAGTCCTGGTTTAGTCCTGGTTTAGTCCTGGTTTAGTCCTGGCGACCCTTTCAGAGGCTGTAGCATGTATATTTATAATCCGCTAATGACGTTGTAGATTTTCTCATTCTGGTCTTTGTGGCTCCTCGCCCCAGTGCGGCTCTTTCCTCGTTCTGGTGGCTCCCTCCCCGGTGCGGCTCTTTCCTCGTTCTAGTGGCTCCCCACCCCGGTGTGGCTCCCCGCCCCAGTGCGGCTCTTTTCTCGTTCTGTGACTGTCCACCTCTCTAAACAAACAAGAATTCCACCCACACTCTGAATTTACAATTTATCCTCAGCACATTACAGGTTATCCACACATTTCTACTGTTTATGGTGATGGTCAGACTAATAAGCTGTTGGACCAATGATCCCCTGTTTTTCTGACGAATGGAATGTTGGACTAATGGGATCTTTACTTGACGGTCCATTTTTGAACTAATACAGTGTAAACTTAATATTATGTCTTGCCAAATTTTACATCCACAAGTGTAAATTTCAGAAATGTCCCCCTAACGTAGCTTGTTTTAAAACTGAACTCAAATTATATATAAAAGCTCTGAAATATATGAATGAACCTAAACCACAAAAAGTGTACTCCTACATGTGTGAAATTCCCCTGGACTTTATGAACTAAGGCTGAATGAGCTCTGCTCCCCTTGCTATTATCCTTTGTGCACTTTAATATATATATATATATATATATATATATATATATATATATATATATATATACTATTGTATTATATTTTTAATGTATAATGTGTTGTGTTTATGTTCCCTCATTCCAGCATGCAACTGCTGACGACACACAACCATGTTTGTTTTAACAAGTTTATGCACCCAGTTATGTGTAAAAAAAAAAAAAAAAAACTGACAGTCAGTGTTGCTGTCACTGATGTCCATGAAAATTGGGTAAAATAGCCACAAATTTTAGTAAAGTAAGAGTAATGTTACTTCAAAATAATATTTATCAAGTCTAAGTAAAAAGAAGTCCAAGAAATGTGTTAAGTACTAAGAGTAAAGTATTCGGGGAAACTACTCCTCAAGTAACTTAAGTTAAAAGTAACTGGACGAAACATCTGATTTGTCATGTAAAGTACTCATGTCTGGTATTTTCACAGTGGGAAGAAAGTACAATATCAGATTAAATTACACCCGACTAGTTTATGTTCATCGTTATAAAATGTGTTGGTATCTGTTGGAGCTGCTTTTAAAAAAATAAATAAATCTTGCCACAAGATGGCAGCATTGTGAAATGCAGATCATTCAGTTGCTATGGTGATGACGCTGTTCTTAAATTGGACCTTCTACTTTACAAATTTACTGTCAGAATGTAAGTTGAACATCTTAGAAAATCTATAAGTATAGATTTCAGTTGACTGTAGCTTGTCTTTCGAACTAGTAAACGTTTAAATTATCAATCAAATGCTCCGTCCTGTACTGTACCCGGCTTCCCATAATGCACCGCTTTATTTTGTCTCGTATCTCAGGGAGATGATCGGGGTCTGACCAGCCCTCCTCTCCTTTCGCCTGCCAAAGTGAATCCCTCTCAGCATCCATCCCTGACAGAGATGCCAGACAGGAAAAGATGCCCTTAGCCGCTCAGGCTTTCATTACTTTATGCAAAATTGAATGAGCACCTTGAAGAAATTCGACGATTCTATTTTTATCCCAAAGGTAAGCACCGAGGTAGCGTTAATGAACTGCTGCAGCCTCTTTAGCTATCCATGCTAACTGTAAGCTAGCTCTAATGTGGACACCTCCTATATTTGTATACATTTTCACGAAAGACAGGTAAATATGTGTTTGGGTATTTTAGGGTGTCTGACTCTTTTACTTTGACCTCCCGGAGACTTAATACAGCTGTTTTTATTGATGTCACTGGATCGTAACAGTTTGTTACTGTTTGCTATTTTTCACGTCTATGTTAACATTGTTGAAGGACACTTTATTTAATTCTTAAACAATGTTCAGTTAGATTACACATATACTAATAAGATACTAGAATACGTGTGCCTTCATACGCTGTTGTTAGATGTTATTTGGAGTTTCTAACGGTGTGTACATTGTTTTGGGCTGGACAGCTCCTCCCTTTGACGATTTTTCCCTTGACAACTGCAAGGACAGTGTATGATCAGAGCAAACACGCCACACGAGTCCACCAGCAGTGGGCCTATATCGTGCTATACAAAGTGGAGATCGGTTCTGCTAACAGCTGCAGAAAAATAAAAAGGGTCATTATCTGAGCAGGATGCCCTTGGACAAGTTTACAACGTCATGTGAAGTAATGAGCTGCCGACCCTCTGCTCGAAGCAGCGGTGTCTTTCGGGTGCTGTCCGCAATGCAGGTGCTGAAATTTAAAGTGCTGGAAGAATAGAGCATCTCTCCGTTCACAAACAAACCGGTCTGTGACATTATAACCATGCACATAGCATCTGTTACGTGGGAACGTTTTTCATAACATGTTTTGATGAAAGGTAACGTTAAATGCGATATATGTCTACACCTGGAGACGTCTGTTTCTAATCAACACAATATACTCTATTAAAACACACACACATAATACAAACATAAGCAGTGCTTCCAGTTTTGTCATGTTATTCATAATCAACTGGCTATGGCTTGTGTTTCTTGCTGCTACTCATTGAATATTTATAGGAACTTTATGGGAAAATGTTGAAAGATTGAGAAATAAAACACAGTGATATTTTTTTAAGAATAAACCGCTCTTGTTTTGCATATCATTTAAAGAGAGACATTTGTATATTAATTTGTATTTACATCATTTCAGATAACACCAATCATGACATTGTTGTTATTGAGGCTGGTTGAGATCACAACTCTGCAAATTGGAAAGCATCAATCTATTCTAGGAATGGGTAGGGATGAGAGAATGGCTTGCAATGCGGACTTTACCGGAAGGACCTGACATTAGTCATCCATAATAGATAATCCTTCAGTAGTTATGACACACTCCCCTGGAATATGGGCCATTTTTTATTTATGTTTTTTTTACTTTTTCCATAAATTTGTTAATGTTCAAACAAAGAAGGAGGAAGTTGTCCACTCAAGTATTGTGGAATATATTATTTATGTTACTAAGCTGATGATGTAAGAGTTAGGAACGCTCTGATGTTTTATTGAAGCACTCTTGCATATGGAGCATAGGCCTTATAAGAATTTGTGCTCTCTTGACTGAGCTGTTGCAGTCTGCGAGACTGTAGAAATAAATATCAAATGTTTTTCCTTCCCCTATGTAGAAGTAACAGGGAAAGGGATGGCAGAAGGTGTTCTAATGGCTGAGAGGAAGCAGTCCAATTTTAGCCACATCCAGTAATTTTGTGTTCAGCGATATGACCTCAAATCAATAATAGGCAATAATAGCAGTAATAGTCTAGCTCTCTAATGCATATTGTAACACTTGTAGTCAGGCAGTAGTGTTTACTATTCAGTTAATCTCTGATAATTGATTTAGTATTCTGTCTTTTTACAGTTTTATGCATGAATATTTGTTAATTATTCATGTTATGTATCAATGCTTTAAGTCGAGAGGTGTAAGGTACAGGTTCACTTTTTGTGATACAAGAAATATCCAGAAGAAGAGCCTTCACACTTCCATTTCTAACTTGACTTCTTTTTCTCTGTTTGTATGTCCATTCCTCCTGTCAACAGTGTCTTTAAGTTGCTAGGCTGCTATTTGGTGAAGCATAATCAACCATGGCATCTGCAAATGTTAGCCTGGAAAATCAGCTTCACAGTGCACAGAAAAACCTGCTGTTCCTCCAGCAGGACCATGCCAACACTTTAAAGGGACTGCACGCTGAGATACGTAGGCTGCAACAACAGTGCACTGGTAGGTTCTCTTGAAATTTATGTCTGATTTGGCACCAGAAGCATATAAATTTTGAATGATAGTGTTAGTTTGCTGTTCAATGTGTTGAATTCAAAGGAGTCATAGTAGTTTAAAAAGTCTTAAAAAATAAATAAAATAACAAGACGCTTTTCAAGTAAATGAGTCAGATTTGATTTTCTTAAATTAATGAATGCAGAGCCATATTTAAGACTAAGAGTGACAAGTACAGCAGTGGCTAAAGTTGATTTTAACATCTGTGGCTCTGCCTAAGATGAGGTTTATAAGACTAACAATTATTGATTGGCATTGCTCTGTCTCGCATCAAATCCTTCCTAAAATGTTTTGTTGAAAGGCAGAGGAAAAGATAATATGCACTCCACTCCCTTGTTGCTGAACTGCAAAAATGTGTATTGATTATTCCAACACTGTAATTTGAACCATGTAAAGATGCTCACAGAAACACAGGACAAGTGGAGTTTCAGATCTGAATTCTTGTATCACTGACAAACCTGCTCTTAAATCTACCATTGAACTCTGTAATCTTTTCACTTTCAAATTCAGAACTATGGATTTAAAAAAAACTCCTTTTAGTGTTGATCTGCTCTTTCTGTATCCTGTGAACTCTGAGTTGCTATGTCCTCAAAGCCTCCTCTCTGTCCACAGACCTGACATATGAGCTCACCGTGAGGAGCTGTGATCCCTCAGGTAACACCCACCTCATCACACTGAACTATGGACAACATTTTGAGCGACAGCCATATATTTAAGTACTGGAACTGTAAATGACCAAACATGGACATTTAGACCTAGACCTATCTGCTTTAGTATGTGTCATGTATGTAACATAACATTGCATTAAATAGTTTTCTTTTTCGTTGAGTTATCATTTTGTGTTGCCTTCAAGAGCAGGAGCTCAGGAGCCCCAAAACAGCCAAGCAACTAATCCTGTAAAATCACATTTAATTGTTCTCATTTTAGTAGTTTCAAACAGGGTAATAATAGCCCCAGGGAATCCAGACCTCCACTTTGGGAGCCACAGATCTAAAGGACACCAATTGTGACAGAGGGCAAATTAGATTAAATGAAGATTTAAAAAATCATTCTTAAAACAGGTAACTGGAAAATTCAGCCTTCTAAACAGATTTTAGAGGAATGCCACAGAAGCATTGCACTGTGGGACTCCCTGTGGTTAATTAGTATGGCGTTCCCACCCCTCACTGCCAGTCATACCTTTCCCACGTTTCTATGCGCAGGAGATGCACACACAACGTTTGACCAATCCATTGACTTGACTGTCCAGTCAGGGCAGACAGGGCCTCTTGCAATTTATTTACTGCCTTCGAGTGACCATAGGAATCTGTTTTACTGAGCAGCAGTACTGAACATAAAGCAGGCCATGGTCTTTCTGTATTGTTGTTATTAGCTGGTTTAGAAGTGAGCAGAGCTGTTAATGTCTCCTGCTGGCTGCACTATCATGTCAGTGTGAGACATTTCAGAGATTGGAGTGCAGGAAATGAGATTATCTGTCACAGTGCTAATGCACAACCTGCTTAGGCTAGCAGGGCTCAGCTGTTCTCGCTATGGTTAACATCTACAGTGCTCCTTTCCTGGGCTCCATCCTTCAGCATACAGAGCACTAATGTTTTTTTCTTTATATAGGCCTGTACTCTGAGAATGTATGGATACTGTGTGTGGGTGTGGTGTAGGTCAAAGCTATAAGTGAAATGTGAGACAGGAGCCCTTTCTCAACCACAAATGGCTCCCCATAGAATCATAGTGTCTCTCCCTGAAAGACTGTCCTGCCTCATGTCTGTGCCTGATGCACTAATTATTATTCTACTCTTGGTCTAGGCCTCTGGGTGTGTTTAAATTGCACATTTGTCTCGTATTTCTTTTCCAGGGCTGATCTTTCCCTTGATAATGTATTTCGACATGTTTCGCTAATATATCTCTATTTTTATTCTTTGCAGCTTAATTGTTGCTAAAAAAAAACACTATTGGCTATATGTTAACCTCAAATGTGTCTCTAATCAATTTTATAAACATAATCAACTAATTTTCTACTTTAGCAGACAGTGGTGAGGCCCGGTGCAGGGAGCTGCAGAGGAGGTGTGAAGAGCTGGAAGCAGAACTGAAGAAGAAGGAGGAGGAAAACACAGAGCTTCTGAGGGACCTGGAGCAAAAGAACGCCATGATCTCTGTGCTGGAGAACACAATAAAAGAGCGAGAGAAGAAGTATCTGGAGGAGCTGAAGATGAAGAGTCATAAACTGGCCGTTTTGTCGGGAGAGCTGGAGCAGAGGGCCAGCACCATCGCGTACCTCACCTCTCAGCTCCACGCCACAAAGAAGAAACTCCTGGCTGGCAGTTCCTCTGAGGTCAGTCCCAATGTCAGCCCTGTCACCTCCTACAAACCCACCCCTCCCCCAGCCAAAGACAGGCAGCCTGAAACCCCACGGCGCCGCATGAAGAAGAGCCTGTCCCAGCCACTGCACCCTGAGCTCACAGAGGTGTACCGTGCCGGACAGGAGGGGCGGAGAATGGTGCTGCGTGAGCCTGTAGACGCCATGCCTGACCCCACCCCCTTCCTTCAGGCTGGTAGGGACTCTCCTGAACCACAGATGCTGCGCGAACGTCCCTCTGTCATCCCTCCCATTGCACCCTCAGGCTCCATGGCGCCCTCTGTTGGTGCCACAGCCAGTCCTCGTCACAGCCCTGCACGGGACAGGCAGTACAGGGCACATGTCGGAGTGGCACACCGAATCCCCCTTGGAGTCCCCCCTGCCCCTGCCCCACCACAAGCCGAGCTGGAGACTCTGGCTGTGGACCAGGTCAATGAGGATAAGGTGGTCCGTAAACGCTCAGGTGTGGACCGGACAGTTTAAATCATTATGCACACATCTACTGTATACACTCAACTGTAGGAGCAGGAAGAAGCCTGACCCACTGTGTAGCTTGCTTTTTATGCAACACGCAATATTTAGAACAAAAAGAGAAAAAAATCACATTTGATTTTGGATACCTTAAAGACTGAAATGACTACTACAAAGCATGCCAAATGTTGCTGAACCACTGAGATCTTGTATCATACACTTACTTGCTTCTGCTTTTCAAAATTTAGTGGTGCATAAACCAGTTTTCAGCCAAAAATCAGCATCAGTGCCTCCTCAGTCGGCTCAACTGTAGACAAGCTGTGTAATGTAGTCCACGCTTAGTACTCCTCACGATATCACTGTATGTCTTTTCAAAACATATCAATATACAGTAGATACTTCTAATATTGGCAACTTCTTAGGGTAGATTTAAAGCAAATAATCTTTTCTTGACCTGTCTGACCTTAATGTTTGTGAAAACTGTATGTTATAGATATGAGCCGCATATTGTGCAATTGTTTGCTGTTCAGAATTTGTAATGCAGTATGAGCGGTGGAGATGAGAGTGGAGACTTGCATGTGTGAGATTGAGTGATACGAGGTGAAAATACATGGTTTGGACTGAACAATGTAAAATGATGGTATTTGTGATACCAGGGCATTTTTAAAAACACTGTAATTTTGTGATATTAATATAATTGTACTTTATAAAGCCCGTGCATTTTTAATGTTTTTTTTTTTTTATTTATTGTCTAAGGGAAATGACCTGGCACTAAACATGAACTCTATCAACATAGTATAACTGAATAATCTGCTTTTCACAGTCACTGTTCTTTGATGATCAACTCAATAAAGCAATGCTTTTGATTTCCCTTCTTGTCTTATTGTGTATTCATAATACAGCTCTGAGTAGTTTAAACCAGACTTAACTTTTTTTTGGGGACCCATATTTTAAAAGTCACAAACCTTCATGACCCAATAGACATTATTCATAAATCACAAAATAAAGGTGGATTTGACCATTATTGAACATTTATAAGAATATTTTTATTGTTGACAGAGTGATTGTGTCTGAACAATCAGTATTACTCAAGTTTTAAACAATGAAAAACTGTAAATGAACATGCAATCAAACTTATCCATAAGTCCCCTGGACATTAAATGTAGCCAATTTTTCTTTTCAGCATTCAATTGAGCAATATTGGAACAAAATAGTCAATAAAATAATTACCAAAAAAATAGAAATTAAACAAAACATATCTTAACATTTCAACATGTGTCAGAACTGTATATTGCAGACCTACATGCAGATCGTAACAAAGCAACCCCCAAAAAATCTCTTGCAATCCATCAGAGGGTCGCAACCCAGTCTTTGGGTTTAAACTACAGCCACAAGGTGTTCACAAATGTGAAACTTTTAAAAACGTATATTATTGAAATCAAATTTTTGTTTATAAAAAAAAAAAAAAAAAAAAAAAAAAGGTGACATTTATGAGGTTTATATGATTAAACTGTTTGGAAGGACAAAACAGATTAATGATTGAAATATTTTTTATTTTGATAGACATTTGGATAGGCAGGCATCCCACTCCACAGAGGTGAGAGGCAATGGCACTCAATAGTCATTGTTACAGTAAATCCTATTTGGCATATCTGATGTGCTTTTCTTTTATACTTAATAGTTATAAGGCCACTCAATATGCATTGTTGACAAATACATATACAAACATCCAACACCTTCAAACACAAACACAATGTGATAAGAGCAGCAAAACATTTCAATGAAGGCACTAAAGCCTGTTTAAAATAGCTACATTTAGCTTGGGTAAATATCAATTTTAAATGCTTTTTGGTGTGCCTTCTTGATAAAAGCATAATTATTTTCCTGATTAAAAGTGCCTTGTTCTCATTTCTGATATTTTCACACTGTAGTAAACATTTCTTCTTGCTCAGATGTTTATGCTTATTTTACTGAAATAGACCTGGTCTCCATTTGCTACTGCGCAAACTCTAGTCTTTGGGCAGGTGAAGTTTTCTTTTGTTGTAAACCTAAACAAGGACAAACTGTTAGATATACCCTGCATTTTATTTACTAGAGCCATGCAGATGTGGACAGACCTGATTCAGCGAGGGTCAGATTATTAAGTTCCTCTTCCAGCTGCTCATCAGTGATGGTGAGGGGGCCGTGAGGCACAGCAGGCAGAGAGCTGAGCAGGTCTGAGACTGGTGTGGTTTGGGGCAGTCGGTCTGAGGGGACTTTAGGTAAACCTGGGGCTCTATCAGCCTGTGAATCGTCCAACAAAGACTTAAGCTCCTCCTCCAGGGCATCCATATCTTCATCTAAAACAAAATGGAATTACATTTACGTCTTGTTCATGCAAATTATAGATTATTTTATCAGCAAGACAAACCTGCCCCAGCCACGCCACTAGAGAGAGTCTGATTCACTTCGTCTTGAGTGTCACATAACTATTTAGAAGATAGAAAACATTTGCCATTATCAAAACACAAACTAGTCAATGTACTTCAGATAAATAGCCACCTCCTGGATTTGATCCACCAGGCTCTCAGCTCGCTCCACAGTCACATCCTTCAGAGAGAGTCTCAAAGCTGACACGCCAGCCTGATATGCTTGTATGACCTGCACACAGGACAATATTGCAGACTCACACCTGAAGATTATATAAATATTCACCTTTCTTACCATCTTATCGGTCTGTGACTGAGCTATTCTTTCCAGGATTCCTCTGATTGTCTCAAGTTTAGCAAATAAACTGTCAGCCTTTTTCTCAACTCTCTTACGCCCTCTCAGACATCTTAGGGCCTGTTTAACATACAGGGACACACAATTGTAGAATGTTATACAATTACACAAAAAACTTTATGCAATATGCAAACACTATTTTTAGACAAATTAAAAATTAAATATATTTAATCTAACCTGAGATTTCTTTCCTTCTCGAAGAAGAAGCCTTGCTTCATCTTTGCATCTGCAGGAAAATTAAGTAAATACAAATTTTTATCAAATTATTTGATGAAAATCTAATTTCATCTCTTTAAATGCATACTTCTCAGCCTCAATGCCCAATTTTTCCACCCGTTCTCCAAGAAGCTTCTCACTGCGCTGGAGCTGGTAGATGCCAATGTCTACGTCATTGACTGGAGAGACTCGATCCTGTCCAGGCTGAGTGAATTTAACAATCTGAATGGACAGAGTCAAACTAAATAGCATAAGTCTGTTTTAGAGACATTACACATGTGTGGAATACAACTATTTACTCATTGCACACCTTCTCTCCCTCGTGGATTGAGACCATCACTTGTTTGTCCCTCTGCAGCTGCAGTAAAGCCATGCACAGGGTGCTCTCATCAGCACATATATCAGCTGAGAGGGTACACAACTCTTGAAATGAGAGGACTGAAGAGTTTGAAAGCTCACTGCTGCGATAAGCTCGAAGTAATTCAGACGCTTTCTCCTAGTAAAAAGATGGCATAAAATGTATTAGAATTACCATTCAGTCCACAGCAAAGATGTCTTGGCCTCACCTTAACTAGTTCAATGACAACAAATGACTCCTCTAAAGGCACACGGCTGCTTCCCAGAAGAGTAGAGAAAGTCCATTTGAGCGGCTTTACTAACAAAAGACCCACGCCCCACGACAGCCAGCCACTGTCCACACTGGCAGCAAACTCTGACTCCCTCTGAAGCTTGCCACTCCTAAAAATATAAAAACAACACAATTAGTGACAACTGGCTGAATTAGGAATGACAAATATTTCCAATGATTCTCTTTCCGCAAAAATGCCCCACTCAACTAGCTTACAAGGTACATAAATTACATGTGTGGTCTTCTAACTCCTTTGATCATACATTCACTGTACATCTTCAAATCTAAAATAAACCATCTGGCCTTGCTCTGCAAAACTGTCCCTTATATGTACTTTTAATCCTTAAGTGTGAAACGTCAGTGTTTATATACTTATAAAATCTATTGTCAAACATGCCTACCTACTTAGAAGTGAGGACTCATACCTGGCCATAGATTGGAGCACTGTAGGTAGACCAAGTGGACATTTCTCTTTCCTCCTGAAGGTTTTGTTGAGGTCTTGCAGGTTGACACAGACTGAACCCCTGTCTCTACAGCTCTGTGTAATTAGAGCTGTCCAGAAGTCCATCTTACTGTCCCAGTCCGTGGTGTTCACTTCTCTGTTATCCTTAAACTCGGAAAAAAGAAAATTCATCCGCTCGTCATCATCCCACTCAGGCGGCAGGGGCATTTTGGTGTCTGTAGATATTTGCAGTGATGGATTAAAACTTCTACAATGTCAGTTTTTGTTTTGACTGCTACTCTAGTCACTTAGCTAGCTTAGCCTTTCGAGCAGTAGCTCCGGGTAGGAAATTACCCCTAGCCTCAGTATTAATTCAGCAATAAATTAGCACATGCTGCTTACAAACCGAGCCATGGTAGTCATTCTATGACATGCGTGATGACCTCATCACTGCGCTGATAAACTTTGATAAAATGTTGAAATAGCGTAAACGATGCAATGTCAACAACGACATTTAGCCGCGTTTGGGAAGGAATACAGTTCCGACGGAAGGGGCGGTGCTAACTGTTCCAACCTATGGCTAAACTTTACGCGCATCAGTAGCGCGCATGTATCTCTATGATCCCACCGCGCTTCAATGCAGCCAAATCATAAATGATTTCATTTTTATAGAGACAATACATATCACGAGTAATGTCAATGTAATAATGTTTTTTATTGTTTATTTATTTTTAACGTTTACTCTTATTAACAGAATACCCTTATTTAATTTCTGTTAATTAGGCCAATATTGTCACTTTGCCCGAATGGCAAAAATAAATTAGGCCATCACAATGAACATGCAATCTTTTCCATTTAGTTATTATGCATATTTAAGTATTTTAAGTAGATTATGGTAAAACTCAATTTATTTTAATCATTTGAGCCACCCTGACCCTTTCATTTGAGCTTACACAATGTGTGGGAAACAGTGCTCTTTATCTGCATATGTTTTATTGAAATTTCCATGCAAACTTAATAATGATGAATTTATATGTGGTTGACCACCACAACCACAAACAACTTTAAACACATTCATCAATCATCATTTCATTATTTTAGTCCACCACTCACACAAAACGATGACATAGCAGACGTGTAGCAAAAAATACACAGAAATAGCACTTTGTTGCACTATCTTATCTATATATTAGGCAATGTCATAACAGTCATGTTCACAGCTCTGATTCACAACTGCACACCAAACATCCTCAATTGTATTCACAGGTATAGGCTTAATTTTAATATATTTATAGAACCAAAGTATTGCAGCATTTGCTTGGGTGACAAATGTCATCTAGCATCATGCACTTTGTTCCACAGTTACACAGTAATTACAAACTCGTAGAGTATGCACATTTGGGATAAGAATTAGTAGATACCTATGCACAACATTGTTCACATTAGTCAGGTTAAGTAAGCTATAGCACATATGCTGCAATTGGCACTTACAGTAGGCTACATGTTAAAGACATGTTTCTGGTGTTTAATTGTTACAGGAGACAGTGCATATTTATCCAAATATTAACACAACTTGCCTTTCTTGTTTACAACTTTTGCCATTTTAATTTATTTGGCACATGTTCAATGTAATATTTTGTCTGTCTTTACCTCCCTACTTGGCACTGAGATCTACCAATAGGTGCTGATAGGCCAAGGTGTTGCCTTTGAAACTGGCTGCCAGCAAAATGTCCTTGTTGTCCACGGATATCAAGCTAAATGCACGTGGTGCTCTCATGTTAAGCTCCTGGAAAGGCTGGAAGCGCTGAGTAAGGTCATCCCACAAGTACACCCTGGAGAAGGAGAAATCACTGCCCAGGATCAGGTACTGTCTTGGGCCTACAGTGAATGGATACACCACCATTGAACCACGGGATGGAAGAGTCTGGATCTCCACAAAACGCTGTCCTTCCCAACGCATGATTTTAGAGTCACCAATAAAACGAGTAAGGCAAAGATACAAGGCTCTCCTTACCCAAAAGTGCTTCACCATCTGTACATCAGCCATTTCTGTAATCTGGGAGTGGAAAGTGAACTGCTTTTGGCTAGGGTTCCACTGGTAGATTATTGGGGGCTGTGAGGCACTAGACAGGATTAGGTGAGGCTTTCCCCCTGCGTCAATGAACTCCACGTGGGTGTCCCGGTGCCAGGGGTGAAGGGACTGGTGAGAGTAGAAGCCATTGCTGTTCCATCTGTAAATGCTGGTGGAGCCAGCTTTGGAACTGTCTGCGACCACGAAATACCACTCTCCGTCCAGTAGGAAGGTCTCCACAAAGTTGGGTTTGCGCACTCGAGTGGTGTCAATGTCCTGGATTTTGATAAAACGCTGAGGGGCCTCTTCCCATCTGAATTATCGATGTCAATAAAAAACGATAATATATTAGGTCACATAAACTTTTCATATTATTAAATACAAAGCAAATGCGCAGATCTAACTAATCTAAATGTAACACTAAAGTGTAGTACAAATCTTACTTGTAAATATGAGATCCACCAAACAACTGGGCCACTACCATGTGCAGAGTGTTATTTATCACCACCGGTTTGCAGTACACAGCAGAGCGAGCTGTAGGAATGTCACATAAAAACATTACAAGTAGCTGATTTAAGACATAGCATTTATGTAGTAGATAAATCTTACAGGTGATGTTGTGAAACTTCCTGAAGACCATCTCCACATGGTCCCACACATAGACAGTGCAGTATCCTGAATCAGGCTGAGCAAACGTCACAAACTGATCATCATTGAAGTCATAGGACTCCACTGACACTGAGTGGAAGGGGAAGGATTCATACACTGCAAAATCTACAAGGAGGAAATACAAAAGCTTGATCTGATTTCGTCCACTTTGGGATGAGTACCACCACCTGCAAGGGTTTCTTATTAGATGTAGTGAAGCTTGTTTATATATTTTTCAGGGCTAAATGCTTGCTTGGCTATAGACATTTATTTCCTTTACATCACTGTTTTAGCTTATCTCTGGTCTAGTGCATATATTGTTCTTATTGTTTTTTTAGAGATTCATATAAATAAAATGATTACATATGAATAAAATATTGGCCATTGGCCCACTATAGCCATACCAGCGCTGATGCAGTTGAAGTCTCGTGGTGTAAGGTCGTGGACTCTCCGCCCCTGGAACTCAAAAGGGCTGGCACAGTAAACAGCAGGAACTGTGGTATTGGTTTTCTCAATCCAGTCCACGAGCCACTTGATTTTACAGTCACAAAGGAAAGAATTCCCTCGCAAGTCTCTGATGATTCATAAAAAGCAACATGAAGACAAATGTGACACAGAATTGTGATACATTCAATTGGCAAACTTACAAATCAGTCAGAATGTCAAGGTTTTTAAAGAGGTCTCTTGGGAGCGTCTGTAGGTTGTTGTTTGAAAGAGAACTGGAAAAACAGAAAAAGACAAAACTGTGACATTTATCAAGACAATGTCATGACAGTTTAGATTTTACTCTTATAAAAGGACCAAAATAAAGTGAAATGCAAGTTTATTCATTGATAAAAATACTCACAGGTGTGTCAGTGATTTTAATCCTCTAAAGGTGTACTTTGAAAGAGACTGGATATCATTATTCTCAATAAATCTGTGAAAAAAGAAAATCACATATCCTAGTTCATCAGCAATAAAGATGTAGTCGTATTTGACCTGCAGCCACTTAGTAGCTAACATGGCACACATCAGATTGATATTACAATGCTAAATATTACAGTGGAAGTGGTAAGCTCAGTGGTAGCCATGTGATTCTTGTGAGTTCGATCCATCAAAATTTCCAACAATTCAGCTTGCAGTTTAGTAGCCAGTTCATCTCATGAGAAGCCAATAGCTAGCCACTAACATGTCCATCAATAATACAATATTGGCATTTAAAAGGATGAATAATTATGCAACCCAAAAACATGCACCATAGGTAGGTAAAAAATCCTCCAACTAACGAAGTCCTGACCAAGTGTAGCAACAAGATTATGGGGATGAGTCCCCTGGTCTCACATGTGCTGCCCATTGCTCCTCAAAGATGGGTCAAATGCAGAGGACAATTTCCCTAGGTGGACAATAAAGTACTAAAAAAAATTATTTAAAAAAACATCCCAGCAAATGACTGGACAGCTCATACTGTACACTGGATATTATTTGGTTCTTTTAAGGGCAAACTCGGATGTGAGGGCGCAGATGTAATACTGTCAGCATCATTTGATCTAGGCTGGCACTGGTTTTGTCTGTACACCAGATCATCATCAGGAAAATAAAGCAGTAGCGTTTCTGAAGCTGTTTGAGAAGATGGAGCTATTAGCATTCACAGTGGGTTGTGCTGGTTATGGCTTCGATGCAGATGTCTGATGGGCTGCAGCTAAAGCCCCACAGAGAAAAGGAAGGAGCACAGTGCAATCCAAGTCATCAGCTAACTACTTTATAGGCCTCATCAATTCACACAATGGCATACTCAGCTTTATCACAGCACACAGAGACAGCAGGGGTGAATTCAGTTTACTAGTGGCTTTCTTTGCCAGACAACAGCTAATAATAAAAGTTTACCTCCTTGTCAAATCAGGACAAACGTGTCTTGGGAAAAGTGTTCATTGGGGATTTAGTATTCATTCCTTTTAATATTCAAAATTGTTATGTAAGGATAACAATTTTTATCATATATTAAAAATCTTCATACAAAAATAAAAAATACAAATGGAACATAATTCATTCATTGAAAGTTTGGTTAAAAGTGAATTAAGCAGTTTGTAATTTCATTTAATTTCAAATTTACATGTCTTAAAGGGCCCATAATACGCTATTTTCTGATCTATGTTATTGTTAAAAATGAAAAAATGCTACAAAAAATAGAAAAAAAAATACATGGGAAAAAAAGTGCCCAAATGTAACAGTCATAAAGTTGTTTCCTCACCACAAACATACCTAGAGTTGTGTTTTGTTTCATTCACACATGTTTAAAACACAAACCCTGCATATTGTATTTAAGACACGTTCTTCTTTGAAACTCAAAATACCCTGTTCTACCTTGTGATATCATGTGGTAATACAGGAAGTGCTCCACTGTGTTTTTAAACTCCATAAACCTTCACTAGAATCATTTAAATAATTTCAGTCCTGGAATTGCCAATCACTACTTAACTAAAGGTAAAAGGAGCTGTTCACTTGAAAACTACAGCTTCATGATATCATAAAGTGGAACAGAGTATTTTGAGCTTTGGATGTAGACAGACTAAAAAAACAGGATTACTCAAACATGTGTGAATGAAACAAAACACAATTCCAGGATGTTTTTGAGCAGGTAACAACATTATAATACAACTAAAAGCTCACAAGACTCAGTTTTGTGTAATATAGGCCCTTTAAATGATGATATTGGCATCTACTGTTGTATTGCATATGATGGTACCTACAAGTACTGAAGGTGAGACAGTCCAGCAAAGGCATCATCATTTATCATGGTAAATGTGTTGGAGTTGAGAAGTCTGCAACAAATACAAATACAGATCATTG